AGCTGAGCTGTGTCAACAGTTTAATTTTTGATCATGAACACGACTTGCAGGAGTTACACCAAGTGAATTTAACGCTGCAGACACACATCAACAACATGTATATTTCTCTGTCTTTATGGTCGACTGAATCAAGCTGAACTTTTTGTATTAATAAAGTTAGTATTAATAATTTCCATCTTGTGTGGTGGTCAGATTTCAGCAGGTTTATGGAGATCATAAACATAAATCTATGTGAAGTTTAACACGTCCTCCCCGTCCTGTCACCTGTTCTGTGTGGCGCAGGTTCCTTCATTTGGGGCCGACGTACTTGACCTCCTTCCCAGATTTCTTCAGCGCCTCCTCGAGAAATTTCACGTCTTTGTCAGACTCGATCCAAACCAGCTTCTTCGGCAGGTCAATCTCAAACGTCTCCACTGAGAGGACAGACAACAGAGAGGGACTCAAGAGGCAGCAGCAGTGGAGACACTCAGTGTCCTACAGACTGAATGATACACCTCCCAAACACTACAAGACTTTACAAGACTTTATAAAGACTAAAGTGTCTGAACTCTGTGGACGACTTGAGGTTTTTAAAGACTCCAACTAGACTCCTTCAGAGCTGATGTCCCATCATGCTCCTGGTGGAAACTCTGACACATGAACGATTCCTTCCAGCTCTGTATAGAGACCAGAGAAAGCCTCATGTGTGGACGGTATTCTGTCACTTCAGCGTCAATATGATCCATAAAGATAAAGTGTGTTTGATCCAAACTTTACATTTCCAACTCTCTACCAGCCTCCGTTGGTTTGCTGAGATGTTTCAGTGGGAGGAGACTGTGGGAATGAGAGGCGAGTGTGTAAGGCCGACATCACACGCTCCAGTTCTCCAACAAAGTAAATCTAATGTAGCATCATGACAGGATGTGACAGTGTGAGAGGCTCTGAGGGAAGAAGTGTGTCAGACTGTGAGGCTGGTACGAGCCAGAAAAACAGAGGTGTGTTTAATGACATAATAAAAGTGTAACAGCATCAGGTGACATGTTGGCTGAGTCAGACTCACAGGAGTCATGAGGGGATGTGATGTCATGTGAGCTCCTGTAAAAGCTTCAAACTGCACTTTCACTGGACTCTCTGAGAGGAGAGAGCTGCAGCTTTATTCAACATTACATCGTACCTATCAGCTGCTGATATTATAAAGAAATAATCTAAGACTAGTTAGAAGGAAAAGCAAATGAAACAAATATCTCAGCATGAGACGAAGCCACAGACCGATTCACAATGTTTATTTACAATAACTTAACTGGTAAAAACCCTCCTGTCATCTGCATAAAATCAATCTGTGCAGAACAAACACTGCTTTACTTGATCTATTTTAGCCACCTAAAAAAAAGCTCACTAAAACTATTATTATCAGTGTACATGTATTTAGAATATTTGCACTTTTGTTCCCCAGATATGACGCTGAATAATGGACAGAAAACATGATGATGTCACAGTGAAGTTGACCCTTGACATCCAAAAACTAATCCATTCATAGTTGAGTCCAAGTGGACGTTTGCACCAAATTTGAAGAAGCTCCACTGGGGCGCTCACAAGGATGGGATGGACAGACGGACAACCAGACACATAAAGCCTCTGGTCACCGGTGCAGAGGCACAGAATAACTTCCACATATAAACCTCTGCATCATGTACATAAAATAAAACGTAGCTGAGCAAACGCTGCCTTAGCTGATTCGTTTTTAGCCACCTAAAAAACAGGCCTCACTAGAAACTGTTGAAGTGTTCGCTATAACAAGAATATTTTCACAGCTCCACTCTGGTGTCAGTCAGAATTTAATCAGAGGAACTGAAGCCATTAAATCAAAACCATCAGACTCCACTGACAGAAACATTTAACTCAGCAGAACACTGGAGTTACTGGTCTGCTGTGGCTGTGACCAGTTAGTGTGTGAGCTAAAGCTGTGAAAATATTCAAATACAGCCAACGCTCAAACTGATATTGATTTCTTTTATGTGGCCAACAACACATTTTGCAGCGGCCCGTCCACAACAGGATGTTTCTCAGCTGCTGTGTCAGAAGGTTTGTCAGAGACGACAGAACAGAAATTAATCACAGCAGAGACGTCAGACAGGTCGGACCAGCGAGTGTCTTCAAATGTTACAGTTACGCCTGAAAATAAACACGTTTGCTGATTTCACGTCTCCACGGTTGAAATAAACTGACAGTTTTCTGATTGTTGTTGTTGTTGTTGTTGTTAGCATGATGTCACTGTGGTTCGGTCTGTACCTGCAGCCTCCTCTAAAAGTGAAGACGAGGAGTTAAACTACTGCTAATGTCGGTTCTTAAAGTCGACCTCAATATTCATAGACAAAAGCACGTAGACAGATAATAATGTGTGAAAATATTAAACACCTGCATCTTTAAACACAATGTTTGATCAGTCAGGAATTCAAATAATAAACGCTGTCTGCAGGCTTTTATTCTTGTCTCAGCAGGAGCAGCTGTCACAAGCCTCAGTGAGTCCTCTCACCTGACAGCAGGTGAACTCTGCACTACCTTTAAGAGAACAATGTCGTCATGGGGGAAAAGAAAACTAAATGTAAAGGATGTTTTGTTTTAAGTGTTAAAGGGTTGTGTTGTGTTGTGTTGTGTTGTGTTGTGTTGTTGGGGGGTCTGAGGGAACACACACCACACAGGACTGTGACATAAACACTGACGTCTCTGTCTCTTCTCACAGCAGAGTAAGAACAAGAGACGAGCCGTCTGTCTCACCTCCCAACTTGGTGAGGATTCTGGTGACGGCTCCTGAACATCCCTCGCACGTCATCTCCACCTCAAACTCGTGCTTCTGTTGGAGACACATTCATTTGACTTTATTATCAGAATACTGTCTGAAATGTGTCCTGCAGTCCTCAGACGTACGCTGTCTGACATAAATACACACAAACGTACTACACACACACACACACACACTACACATCACATTACTTGCTTTACATTCAGTGTTGGACCCAGGTCCACCGAAGCCGACCGAGACCCAAACTCTGATTCAGTGTGACGGACAGAGGAACAAGAGGACCTGTTCAGTTGAGTCTAACTCTTCTGTGTGAAGGTGAAAGCTGAGACTGCTCAGATATGAGATGGTCTGATGTCATATTACCGACCACAGAGAGAGACAACGATCCTTTAGTTTGAAAACTTGAGAGAAATAAAGTGCTGAGTCACTGTGGAGGCTTGTGTAAGCCCCTGATTCATCACTGTGTCTCACTGCACGCTCAGGTTGTGTAACTGTCGTCAGACTTTATCATCAGCACTCTCTGGTTCATAAAACTATTCTTGACCTACTGCAGCATGTTTACCTGTGTATCAAGTAAACAACTGTTTGTCAGAGATAAAAGTCTGAACAATTATTTCCTTACTTAATCAATAAATTCATGACGTCACCACCTGTTGTAACACATCCATAAACAGTAAGTGAAGATCTCTTTCTGAGATCAGATTTAATATCAATTAAACAGTGTCACATGACGACAGCAGAGTCAACACCACTGATGTGACGTCAGCTGCAGTCACATACTTGTAGAGTTCCCGCGGATCAATAAAGTTGATCTGACTCCAACTTATCAATAATCAAAACTGAGCTGAGTCATTAATGTTCACTTCATGTGCTAAGTGTTGCTCCATCAGCTCCACGAAGAGAATCGATTTTCTGGGATCAATGGAAACGATTATTAACTTCATTCTGTGAACAGGCAGCAGTTAGCTTCCAGGCTAATTAGCATCACACAGAGACAGAATGCTAAGCTAACTTTAGCCCTGAAGCTAAGTTAAAGCTAATATACGGGTAACAGTGACTCACCGTCATGTTTGCAGAGATGTGGCGCAAACAGCTGCGGACTGTCGCCTCCGGCTCACTGTCAGCTGATGTTTAATCCTCCTGAGGTGCAGCTCACAACCTGTTACCTGCTCACAGTGAAGCTAGCTTTGGTCAACGGAGAAACCGGATATCCGGTATGAATAAAAAGAGGCACAAATTATTTGTATTTTTTTTTATTGCAGCATTTTTGAGTCAAGAGTTGACATTTAATATTTAGAGATAATATGACTTGCGATAAATATAAAAGTCGGCGTGAAGAATTTCCTGTTTTATTATAAAAGTAAACCCGTTTTACTTTACAGCTCTTATTTTGGTGACCTGTAGGTGAGTGTGCTTCCTCTTTTTACAAGAGTACCAAAGACAAAAACAACTGTCACAGTGCCGTAGAATATAGCATTATCTATTCAAGGGCTCTGAACTGTCAGTTTTTTCTTTGTTGCTGTGAGTGTGTGCGTTTCCAGGATCACTATTTATTGTAAGAGTCAAGACATTAACTTTATTGAAAATGCTATCTTTTGAAAACTAGTCCCATTTCTCTGCATTTCTAAATGAGATGATTATTTACAAATAAATAAATACATAAATACAAATAAAATAAATAGATAATGTGTGAAATGCTGTGAAGTTGTAAAGGCCCCATGTCTGTATGAATGATTCCTGAATGACCACCTGTATTTTGTTTTTTATTTTAGGTCCTTTATGACTGTAAATAAAATGATAATAAATAACAGGTTAACCTTATTGTTAATCTGGACCGAAGATTTTGAACATGCATTTGAACAGTGTCTCGAGTTCTTCACCGATACTGCAGCCAAATACAACATAGTACATGAAAAAAAAAAAAAAAAAATTCAACATTACACACAGAACATAGCAATAATGAAACAAAACAAAAATATATAAATAAAAATCGTAATAATAATAAATAATAATAATAAATCTATTTGTTTATTTTTTATTATTTATTATTTTATTGTAATTGCAGACTTGGTCCTGGCATATTTTGGGCTTCAGCCCTAACGTAAAGATATTTTAAACGCAACGCAGTAACGTATAATCCGTATCCATGGCAACAAGACGTCGAACACAGAGCGTGACACAACACGTCGGGCGGGTCACGTGACCGCGCCCCTGTGTGTCGGACTGGGAGCCGAACAGGAGCTACAGGATCCGCGGAGAGCCTCCTGGTATACCGTCAATCAGTGCGCTGTTTCCCGCTGGATCCACCCAGACATGTCGGCCTCAGGAAAATAACAAGTCCGCGGAGACATCAACCTCCGATCCGGTCAGACCGACACCAGGAGCGGGGAGACAACAGCGGGTTTACCGGAGGTAGGAGCCGAGCAGCCGGACTGTTTATGGACACAAAGATGGCATCGGAGCATATATGAGAGCTAACGGTGCTAACTTAGCTTTAGGCTGTATACATAACGGAGGCTAATGTAGCTGTTTGATAACACAGGCAGCCGGCGCTCCATGCTAGCTACAGTTAGCATCTTCTGTTAGTCTGAAGCTAGCTGGTCCCGTTTTAGCCACGTCTACGCGCTATTTCAATCCCTATGTGTCTGTGTGTGTCTCTGTGTGTCTCTGTGTGTGGGACGGATCGTACAGAAGACACCGCAGCCCAGTGTAATGAACCTCCCGTGTCCCTGTCTCTGTCCCTGTCTCTGTCTCTGTCCCTGTCTCTGTCTCTGTCCCTGTCTCTGTCTGTGTCTGTCTGTGTCTGTCTGTGCACAGCTCCATTAATCGTAAGCTTGTTGGACGGTGTAGTTTCCTGGACAGATCCCATCACTAATGTTTGTCCTGCGTGTTTGTTTTATCAGCCTGTCCTCTGAGGCCACACACACACACACACACACACACACACACACACACACACACACACACTGGTCAAAGATTAGTCCCTTTAAAACAAACACACGGCCCGGGGTCCACCTCACAGTGATGCAGGTGTGACGGCAGAGAGATGCCAGGTGTCAGGAGGAAGTTACATACTGATACTTCATGTAAAACACTGCTTCACAGGCTGTTCACCATGACCACAGTCCTCTGATAGAGCAGTGAGGATCTAGAGACTGGTTGCTGTTTATGAGGGGGGAGGAAGTGGTGAGAAAGAGGAAGACATGTCAGACACTTGTTTATTTATTTTACCACCAATATTTGAAGAAGTCCTGCCCCCCACACCGGCCAGCAGGGCAGCCATCAGCTCGCTCTGTATTAGCTTATAAAGAGAGGTGCATGGGGTAATGGTAACGGGAAGGGTTAAATCCTGTCACTTGTTTCTTTGGCCTCATGTGTGTTCACTACAGTGTGATATGTAGCACGGCTCAGATAACCATCACGTTGGTGGGTGTGTCCTGTACTAGTGGTGGGCGTGGTTCATAAGTACATGTTGTGCAGGCTACAAATAGAACGAGGCTGCAGCTACACGTCTCCAACATCAGTGCGTTCACCTGAGTGTTGTGTTTGCAGACTGTAACCTGTCACATTAAAAAGCCAGATGTTAGCAGGTGTTTCATGCAGCGTGGGTCAGTTGGTGTCAGCTGGTGTCAGTTGGTGTCAGGGCGTCTACATCTTGCTGAAGGATCTGAGCTTCCTCAGGAAACAGACTCTGCTCATCATCCTCTTAGCCTCAGTACAGGTCTTCACGAGGACGCTCAGGTCGTCAGCATCCTCTCCCAGAACACTCAGAGGGTTTGAAGCGTCCGTCACCATCTCAGTGGTGTTGGCCACATGGAGCAGTAGTAGATTTCTAACAGCCCACCTCACAAAATCTTCCACCGGTGAGCTGTGGACCCCTCTGACTCTACTGACTCTACTGACTCTATTGACGCTCAGACCCTCCAGTGTAAAGGTCAATCTTTGTTTTAGATGAAGTGACATAATGTCTAGGAAAATGAAACTGTGGCTCATTGCTCTATAGAGAGCATAGTGTCCCCACACTTTGTTTTTAAGGGTGTGGCACACAAATATGACATCATAATAATAAAGGGAAACAAAAGCTTTAAAACTGAAATTATCATTTCAACAATTAGTCCACAGAAACTGAATTATAACTATTTTAAATACTGATTAATTGTAAACTTTTAAAGAAGAAATGCTGATCACCTGTTGTTTTTATGAACATAATCAGGCAGATTAAGATCTGAGAGTCCTGAGAACAAGACACAAGGACACACTCAGCAGGAGCAACACGACCGCACCATGAACAAAGAAAGAAAGAAAGAAACACTCAGAGTCATTATAAAACCATCAGAGACTGAAGCTGTTTCAAACCCCTGACGGCAGTGTTCAGGGCAGTGTAAATACCTGAAACCAGTTCTGCGCTGTGTCACGATGAGTGATCTCCAGAGTTCAACAGAAACTGCATTTTTACCGTCGTTACAGGATTTAAGAACCTGAAGAGATGTCAGGTGGTTTGGTTTCTTCCATCTTACAGTGTGAACACAATGATCAGTATGAGATGAGTCCTTTGTGATGAGCCGTAGAGCTCCAAGATGCACGAGGTCATAGATGGAGAGTTATTAGTACTTAGATTCTGTGCATGTGTCCCACACTTAGAACATGAACCAAACAGAGGACTTTTATTTTGACCGAACTTCATTTACACCATAAACTGACACAGGAAAGAGATAAAGTGGGACAGAGAAGTTCATTAGGATGCAGGAGAGTGAGTGTTTGATGAAGGACACTCAGACATCCAGATTATATGTGTCCTTGTTTCCTCTCACACACATGAAATAGATAGTTATCTTACAGTGTATGTCTGCAACTGGACAGAAAATCTCCTCTTTGAGTTATTTTCTAAGAGGAGACTTTTTACAAAACTTCATGAACAAAATGTTTCAGTTACAGTAATAAAATGTTAAACAACAGTAACCTTCTGTTTTCATTAAGGATCCTTCACACTGATCATAACTCTGTAATACGGTGAAAGCGTGACATTTTCAGAGACTGTTGCACCGTGAAAATGTCACAGCGTTGCAGCCCTGCACAGAACGCACTGCACATGCTGGTTGGCTGTCGGCTGTAGTCCTCGTGGTGTGTTCAGGTGCAGCTTGCTGGCCGAGACACAGTGACGTCAGGTGACGCAGCAGGGGGCCTTCGTCACTGCCAGTCCTCTGACATCAGTTTGGTGTGTCTGGTCCTGTTAGTGTTGATGTGGCAGCAGGACACAGAATGTCTCTGTGGTCAAAGACAGACATGAAGGTCGACTGCACACAGGTTTTATGGCTGGAAGAAGACAGACCTCCTTTAATTCTACAGAAGAAGAGCAGTTCAGTGTTTGGGGCAGATGTTGAATGTGAATCTTGAATGTTGCTCTGCTGTGGAGTTCCTCAGTGTTTGTATGACTCAGTGAGAGTGTTTAAAGGTTTAATGTCAGTAGAGTCAGAGAGTGGTGGAGGTGGAGGAAACCATGCACTTGATCTGTTCTGCATAACATTATGGTGTGTGAGGATCTGATGCCTCTTGTTTCACCACAGTGTCAGTGGGACATGTGACGGGCGTCGCACTGTCGGCTGTGCAGAGTAAGCAGTCTGAGTGTAGTGAGTTAAAACAGAACTGAAAGTGAAACTTTTCTTCTTTCTTCAGAGTCAGACGACAGGATGAAGGGTTCTTTTTGTGAGAAGTCATGAGTGTTGTGACGTAGTGAGCGTTTGACTGGATAAATGAGACTTGGATTATTCTGCACGAGCTGCAGACGATTGGATCAGAGATGCATGATATTGGATTTTTGCTGGTATTTTCCAACTCTCATTTTGGCCGATTGCTGATGCTGATACATGCACATATGTTTTTCCACCCAGCTGCAGAGAACATCACACATATTATTATTATTACGCCTGCTCACACTGTGACGGTCCTGGTGGCACACACACACACACACACACATACAACACACACACACACACACACACACACACACACATAAAACACAACACTTTTCAAAATGTCCAGCGGGCAAAACAAACAATGAAAAATATGCCGTGATTATTTTTATGTAACATTTTCAAAGGAAACTGTAAAATCCATCCTGCTGTAACAGGTTTGGATCAAAGTCTCCCTCACACAGTCTGATCTGTTTCACCTCATTACAGTGTCATCACTGAGGCATCACCTCATTGGTCCGTCACATCAGCAGAAACGTTTTCATGCCGATGCTGATGTTTCATTTTAAAGCTGTCGTCAGCTGATACTGATGACAAACTGATATTAAGGTGCATCCCTAGTTTTGTTCTTAAGCGTTCCCAATCAGTCAATCAATCAATATGTTTTCTGTTTTTAAATAAATAAAATGAAATAAGCATACATCATACAAAAAGTAAAGCATTATTAAAGATGTGACTTTGAGCAGCAGATGAGGAAGCAGCCAGTGTTTAAGAGACAAACTAAGTCAAACATGAAACTGTGAGGGTGATGTTATGTAACAGAGCAACATTCTGAAAGAACAGATTTATGATGATGAACGCAGCGCTGAGCTTTACTGAAGAGGCCGCACTTTATTTTACTCTGAAGGAAATGAGTTTCGTCCTGATTGATGAGTCGTGAACGTGTTCAGTGGTGGAGAGATGGTCAACGTGTTAATGGCCTTTGTGTTTCACTTTAAAGTGCCGAGGCCTGAAATGACAACGCGTGCTATTAGCATCTCCATGGTGCTGAGTTTAGGCCTCTCATGTCACGACTCAGTGTGAAAGTGTCTAAGCAGCTCAGGATTCACACACACTCACTGTGGAGCTGTTGTTGAAGTCAGTTTGTGCATCACGGCTGCTGAACCTCGTCTGCAGGAGGAATCAGCCTGCACCTATGTGCACAGGCCTGAGACTCTCTGTTTTCATGATATTAGTATTTACTGTGTAACGTTAAAGACACCACAGCTCACAGTGTTAAAGTGCTGCAAAGCTTTTATTGTCTCTGTGGGAGCTCTAAAGTCCACGTTGTAAATACGCTCCAGGTTCACAAGCTGTTCTGAACTCATTGTACACTGAACACTAATGCTGTGGTGAGGAGATTAAGGAAGTGTGTTCATTAGACGCAAAGATATCAGTGCTGGGAAACGCAAACATTGTAGTTGTTAAATGTGGCCACAGTCTGAACTCTCCTGTCGTCCTCGTCACTGTGAACCAGCAAGTGGAACATAAAGCCTCTGTGCAAATCCATGTGTGATTAGAAGCTGCAACAACAACAGGTCATGAAGATGTTCTCACACACCGTCTCAACTCACAGCCATCGTGCTGCTCTTACATAACACCGCGGCTCAGTGCGCTGAGGTCAGGTGCTGTGTTCAAAGACCGTCCAACACGTCGGGCCGTCAGCCTGAAGCTTAGAGCCAGAAAAGACTGCAGGTTGTGCTCTGAATGGACCTGATCTGATCGTCTGTTGCAGCCCTGCTCATCACACATTGATTTCACTTTATAACATAGACACACACACACACACACACACACACACACACACACACACTCAGAGGACAACAACCTGCCTCCATCACCACAGTCAACATCTGCATTCTTATTTCAAAAACATCTGCATGACTCTGAAGGGCTGCACACATGCTGTGTCTCTGACCACCTGGAAGACATGAGGTCAGGCGCTCTGTGTGACTCTGGTGCCTCCTCTGTGCCAACTGTCCAGAGCATGGAGGCAGGCTGCATCTGAGGTTGCTAAGCAACCATAACAAACACCATATCACAGCCTGTTTACCTGAAACCCTGAGGTCAGAGCTGATCTACTTCCTGTGTGTCTGTGCGACAGATGTGACGCTCTGACAGCTCTGCACTGACATCATCAACTTCTCCTCCATATGTATCACACACTGATATTTACTGAAGATGGAAAGATATCTGTCAGCTGTGATTGGTTGGTCCTCATCACATGACATGCGGTGCAGGCTGATGTGTTCAAAAAGTCAAACTCTGTTTATCTCAGGGTGCAGCTGTCACGCCCTGACAACCAGGCTCTCAGGAACACGTGTGCATCACGACAGCGTTGTTGTAACGTGTGAGCACACCTGCCATGAGTCGACATTGGAAACAGTGGATCAGAGCTTTTATATGACAGCATACCTTAAAGCTGATGTATGGCTGCGACCCTCACTGTCTCTGTACTCTGGACAGCTTGGAGGAGGGTCATGTGACCAGGACATGGATGCACAGTCAGTGTAGCTCACTGCAGAGGGCTCAGTGTACTTGATGCAAAAAGTTTTTCAAGCTCACGACAGGAATCATGGCGTGAGTCCCACATGCAGAGAGACAAACACACAGTCACTAAGAACCCACCAACAAACATCACATGTGTCCGAGCTCTGTCGTACTCATCGCCCTGATCCTAATGACCAATGTCAGTTCATGTTTTCTTTTCTTTCTGGTCTTCAGTTTTACTCGAGGTGACATTAACAAGTCTTAAACAGTGTGACTGTGAGTGGCCCTCAGCTGTAGGGGCCCTGCTGCTCTCTGTGAAGCCTCCACACTCACTGACAGACACGTGAGAGCTGCTGCCTCCATCACTCACTTAGTTTGTGTCACTGTGTGTTTTTAAGGCTTCAGATACTCTGAGTCATGAAACCAAACTACGCTCTCTGTTCTACAGTGTGTAGCTGTCAATGCTGGACTCCCTGATCCCCCAGCTGTAGGATCTGTGAGGCTGGGAGCGACCACGCCCAGCCGCCCACCAAACCACCTGACCCAACATGATGGCCTCCAGCGACGTAGACACCCGAGGTGAAGGTAAGAAAATGAAGCGCACTGCTTGTGTCAGTTCAACATGGATTGTACACAGTGTGTATGGTACACACAGTGTGTCATGTAAAGTGAGACACAGAGGGATTATATATAATCCTGGCAGGTAGACTCTGAATCATCAAAGCAGCTTTCATTTGTTTTCTTGGAGTGGCTGGCGTCTCGTCTGGCATGAGGTCACAGCATGAGGTCACAGCATGAGGTCACAGCAGGAAATGCAGTATTCAACATGTTGTGATAAAGTCAGAGTATCTGGTGTATTTGCTGCAGAGATCAGCTGTTACAGTCCTCCTGATGACATGCAGCCATTTTCATGTTTCTGTATAAAGACCAGCTGCACTCAGCTAAATTCAACATGAACATGTGACTTATTTCTAATCAGCTGTGGGAGTGTGTGGGCGGGGCCTCAGTTTCACTTCAGTCTCAGTTTCCACGCTGTAAGTAGACGTTCTCTCGGCTGATGTAACAGTGAGTTCTGCTCTTCATCCCTCCCACACTGAAATATGTCCCAACAGTTCCTGTCTGCGTGTGAAGGATCAGAAAGTCACGAGACGCTGAAGTAAAGTCCACTGAAACCAGCAGAGAGTTTGGTGGAGCAGCAGGGTAACCAGTTCAGCTGCAGGGCGTCTCCTCGTCTCTGCAAACAAACTTTTCCCCCCCTTTTTAAAACAACCAGGCAAATAACCAGATAACTGCCGTCATGTGTTTGTGACGGTCAGCTGGTTCACACCAGAGATGTTATCTGACTGAACATCACAGGAAAGAATCAGATTATTTTAATGTCCGAAACGTCATGTTCATTTAGTTTGAGTCCGAAACGTTGATCAGAATATGGATTTGTTTTAGTCACATTTCAGTCATTAGTCTGTTTGTGACATCAGAGCAGTGATACAAAAGACAACACTGAGCATATTAACAGATCCAAAGTCTAAGAGGTAGGTAAGAGGATAGTTCTCTTGTTGTTGTTTATTTTTTATTTGAAAACACATTTCATCATACTTTTTGATTTGAATTAATTAACTTTGTATTTAGTCGTTATCTGTGATCTTTTCAGTCATCGTTGTTGTTGATGAAATTGACACCAATAAAAATCCCAACATGTGTTAATGAATTTATAAATCAGAGTCATGTGTCACTGTGCAGAGCCCTGTGGAGTCCGGTCCGTGTGTTTGTCCCACAGAGGGTGTGAGATCACTCATTAACTTCCTGAGCTCCCCACATGATGCTACCGCCATAAAACAAAGTGCATCACTTATTCTTTTTGTCTCGTCCTCCTTCGCCTCAGGCTCTTTATTCTCCGACCAAAATCCGTCAGAAATGGACGCACTCTGTCCGTCTCCTCCCGGACCGTCCAGACCCCAGCGTCACTACGAGAGGATCGGAGGACGGGCAGGAACCTCGTGAGTGTGATAAATCTAACACACACTCAGCAGGTGATAAAGTCTGTCTCTTCTGACACAGGTTTATTTTCTGTTTCCAGTTTCTGTCAGACTCTGATCCACCTGCTGAAGGGGAACATTGGTACAGGGCTGCTGGGGCTGCCTCTGGCTGTCAAGAACGCAGGCCTGGTGGTGAGTACACACACGTTTTATTTTCTGATCACATGACAGGTCACATGACAGGTCTGGAGACACAATTAGATTTCTGTTCCTGTGTGATGTTCATGGAGTTATCCAGCTGTGGTTTGAAGCTGCTGCTGTCAGCCGTATTTCTGTGGACAGTGCTGTGCAGTAAAGCAGCTGTGAGCAGAGGAAGTCAGGTGGACTCATGAGACAACATGTGATGTGTCAACAGACAGGTCCAGTGGTACAGAAACTAATTACAGTCATTTTTGTTTCATTAATTTAATGTCTCTGCTGGTGTCTGTGATGCTCCAGGAGCCTCACACTGTGACCACAGGATCTCACACACACACACACACACACACACACACACACACACACACAGAGCTGTGGTTACAGCAGCGCTGTGAGAGGATTTACATGCTGCACTGAAGTGAGATACTGTGGTCAGCACAGTGAGATAGACAAAGTACTTTTATTCCTCAGTTATCTGCTCAGCCAAAATCCAGGACTGTCATGTGACATGAAGTGACACAGGTGAGGTTGAGGCCAGGTGACAGACAGAGGTCATGAACACTGACTGTGAGAATAAATGGTTAACACAGAGTGAAGTGATGTGAACATCTTTGGAGCAGGAGCTGAGGCCTGACACCATATATGTCACATGTCACATGTCACATGTAAAGCTTTTTCTATATGAGGGCAGAGTTGGAGATGAACAACAGCCTCAGTAATCCGTGTTCTGATGTGAACACATGAAGTCTCCTCAGATGTTAATGAAGTGTCTCAGCATCATGTTGGAACACAAACTCATCAGTTCATCCTGTCAGAAGGATTTTAATGCTCAGTGATGTTTCAAACACCAGGCTCCTCTCTGCTCACACTGCTGACACACACAGTCACCACGTCCACGCTCAGACATGTGGGAGCTGAGGTAGTAACACGGGGACACTCACGGGGGCCACTTCTGCAAAATGACAGGACACAGGGGCCAGCTCATGAACATGTCTTCTGGCACCTTATTGACGTTCAGAGTACAAAAGAAATCCCAGTGTGAATCACTTTATTTTCACTGTCACTTAGAAAACGGTCGTTGGGTCACCTGACACCCCGTCACGGGCCAGATTTGGCCCACGGGCCATAAGTTGAATAGCGCTGTAATAAAGCATCCACACAGAGGTGACGACACAAACTCTGCTCCTGCTAAAACATTAAAATCTTCAGGTGTGAAGAGTCACACTGAACACTTGGGCTCCTGAGGGCCTCAGTGAGGAGTCACATTAACACTATACCACTGTGCACACACTGTTGGGAACATGTGTGTTCAGGACGGGCCGAGCTTCCTTTGGTCCGCAGCAAAACACTTGCACACCTACAGGTGTAGATTCATCCTGATGATATCAAAGGTATTTAAAGTATTTAAAAGATATCCAGCTCAGCAGCACATCACTTACTGACTGTGTACCTTTACATCTGCTTCAGAGGAAACACTGTTCTCCTCCACTTACCTGTCAGAGGCGTGTCACCGGCTCAGCTGCAGGTTCACATTCATTTCCAGACCGCTGTATCAGTGTCTTGTGTTGACACAGTCACTGTGGTTATAAAGCAGAGCAGGGATTTAATTGGCTGAGGTGGCAGCTGTAATGTTGTCAATGTTAGTGTGGCAAATAGAAACACACCCATGTTGTGGTTACAGTCTGTTAATGACAGACAGATAGACAGACGTGTCTCTGACATGTCGTTCATATGTGATGTGTGTTTAGCTGCCGTCCTTTATAAAAACAATCTGTCTGTGACACATGATTGGTTCACACTGATTGTGATTCTCTTCATGGACCTGTTGTTGTGTACATTATACCAGAGGTGTCAAACATACGGCCCGGGGGCCAGAACAGGCCCGTCACAGGGTCCAGTCAGGCCCACTGGATGACTTAGTGCATCATACATCGCAGCTCTCTGAAACAATAAATACTTCCTGTGGTCAGATTTAAAGATCCTCAGCACTGTGCACAATATAATCAGTACAGAGTCTGTATCTTAGACCAGTAAGGGTATAACCTGCTGCTGAGGCTCTGACACAACCACAGACTGATGAACTGGTCATGTTTAACTGGTCCGACCCACTGGGATCAAACTGGGCTGCATGTGGACTAAACTGAGTTTGAATTATCTGTGTATATGCTGTTTAATATTTAATGTATGTTTTATCACTGTTTGATGATGACTGTTTGGGACAGGTGTGGTATGGTGGTTGTATATGCATTATGGGTAATTAAGACGGCGCCTGTCTGTATTAGTCAGAGGTCTGGAAATGTTACAGAGCTTTAAAATCCTCTGAACAGCTGTGAGACTGTTAATATGAAATATATCATTTAATCTACAGTGTTTGAGTCTCAACAGTCTCTCTCTCTCTCTCTGTCTGTCTGTCTGTCTGTCTGTCTGTCTCTCTCTCTCTGTGTCTGTCTGTCTGTCTGTCTGTCTCTCTCTCTCTCTCTCTCTCTCTCTCTCTGTCTGTCTGTCTGTCTCTCTCTGTCTCTCTCTGTCTGTCTCTCTCTGTCTGTCTGTCTGTCTGTCTCTCTCTGTCTCTCTCTGTCTGTCTCTCTCTCTCTCTCTCTGTCTGTCTGTCTGTCTGTCTCTCTCTGTCTCTCTCTGTCTGTCTCTCTCTCTCTCTGTCTGTCTGTCTGTCTGTCTGTCTGTCTGTCCTCAGCTGGGACCTGTCAGCCTGCTGTGTATGGGCTTGGTAGCGATCCACTGTATGAGGCTGCTGGTGAAGTGCTCCCACCACCTCAGTGCAAAGTAAGTACACACACCTGACAGTCTGAACACTGTTTGGCTCTGTGTCATGTGACCTCGCTCCAGCAGGTGAGGTGGAGCTGAAGCTCTGTGACATATGCCAAATATCTAACTGACTGAAGTGACAGTAAAGCTGACCGCCCTCCTCAAATGTGCTGCCATTCACTTTAGTACTGACTGATGTGTGTGTGTGTGTGTGTGTGTGTGTGTGAGAGAGAGACCTCAGCTCCTGCTCTGCTCTGTCGACTTCTGTGCTCACTGTGCCAACACCGACTGTTTGTTGTGGCTGGTGGTCAGATGACACTCTGTGTGGGCGTGTCTCTGTTTCTGCTGTGGACACACGGAGGTTTGTCCCCAGCTTGTGCTGTCCACATCCACAGTAGACTCATAATTAAACCCTATGCTGCATCTGTCCCAGGCTGCGGTGTCATGTAGGAGCGCTCTGCTCTGCCCGTCATGATGAAAAGCTCTCAGGCATCAAACACGCGTCTTCTAGGCTCGGTTTATTTGGCGTCCTGTAAAGAGTGAAGTCAGGATCTCTGTCAGTGCGCCTGATGAACCTGTGACCTGTGATCAGCTCCACCAATCAGAGGAGGAGCAGTAAACGCTGTCAGCCATCAGATGATGTAACCACACAGACGAGGCAGTGAAGTTTTACAGCTGTTAGTGGCTGACACACTGGTTTTACTGGTCATCAGATTCCCATTAGTGCGTGTTGCTGTTGGCGCTGCCTCCAGCAGTCAACCCGCCCGTCCACCGTGACTCCTGACCTTTGACCCGCTCATGCAGAGATAGACACCAGCTCCGCCTCGCCACACCAGAGAGGATTAAACACACAGAGAGCATTAGGGGTGTAACGGTACACAAAAATCTCGGTTCGGTACGTACCTCGGTACGCAAGTCACGGTTCTTTTTTTTTTTCGGTACAGTAATGAAAAAAAATAGACAACTATTAAATATCTTTTACTTATTGGTAACCTTATTAAAACATACCACCACAGCAGTTAACTCTTTTTACACAATTTTTGAATGAAACAAATATATAAAATCCTGCTTTTTCACATTGTTTGAATGAAAATAGAAATATAAAAGTGAAAAATAAAATCTTGCTGTTTTTTTAACACATTTTTTGAATGAAAAATATAAATATAAATTTCTGCTTAAACAGTTTTACTCAATTAAAATAAAAAGTATAGTGCAGCTGGTCAGCTTTAAAGCCTGCTCAGATTCAGTTTTTCTAGGAACTTACTTAGCTTTCCCACTTTGTTAAAGTGCAGTAAACAAAACATGCTTATATCTAAAGTGCAGCTTAAACATTTTTACTCAACTCCAATGGCGTTGGTTATTTCTTTAGCGCGATGGTCAGGGAAACGCTCTTTCTTTTTAATCGATGACGATATCGTAGTTTGCACCAGATTGCTTTTTCTAGTCGTGCCGGTTAACGTTCAAACTCGGGTGGTGTCGCTTTAGATGCTTTAGCATGTTAGACGTGTTTCTAAGTACATACCCGACCGCTGTTCTGCAGTGTCGGCACACTGCTTTTGTCTTGTCTACTTGTTTATTTCCATCTTCGTATTTTACCCTGAAACCAATGTGTTCCCTAACGGAGGACTTAAGGTTTGCGTGTGGGTCTTCAGGTTCGTCAGGCTCACTTGCCATGGGGTCCATGTCATTGGTTCGACAGCCCATTAGTCCGACTGTCCGCGGTGCTGAATGGCTCGCGGCAGGCGTATGGTGCGCTGCGACCAGCTTGAGGCGGAGCAGGCTCACGGCTTATGTGTTTGTCACTTTCTTTTTCATTTTAACCCACACCATGCACAAAGTGAAAGCGGAGATTTACGGGACTTGGTCCGTCACTCAATTATGTCCGTCGGGGAACTAGATATTTTAAATGGTTCGGCTCGCAAAAACGAAATTAAAATAAAACAAAATAAAATAAAATAATATCCTGCGCCCAATAATTCGGTACAGGGTCGTGCCGAACCGGAAGTCGCGTACCGAACGGTTCGACACAAATACATGTACCGTTACGGCCCTAGAGAGCATGAATGAAGAGCATCACATGACTCCTCAGCTCCTACAGCTAATATTGATCTGACAGGAAGCGCTGGTGGGAAAAATTCTGCTCTTCCTGTTTCTCAGGTTTCTTTTACTGCAGAGTCAGAATCATCACTTCCTGTTTAAATCATAGACGTGAAACCATGAAGCCTTTATCAGCCTCTGCTCTCTGTTCCTCTTCCTGCGTAACGATCAGTTCATCACCACTGTATACTGTGTGTGTGTGTGTGTTTGTAACTGTGCGCCTGTGAAGCATGATGGGAAACAAAGTGACCACGACCCTCAGTGAATAAACAGAGACTGAAAACAGACATAATATCTGAGTATGAACGCAGAGAGAGATCAGTGTTCTCAGGTTGGGTCACTTTCAGAGACAGAGTTTAAGCCAACATTACTAAATCACGTGTTTGTTTATTTCCCGTCCAGGATGAACCGGCCATCCCTGAATTACGGCGAGGCGGTGCAGTACGGGATGGAGAACGTGTCTTGGCTGAGGAGACACTCAGTGTGGGGAAAGTAAGATGAATGTTTTAGTCACGTGACCAAAATCCACTCATATAATTTACACAATATTATAAAGAGGTCTTCAGTGCTGATTTCAAACTGCCCTGAAGTCAAACAAATAATTTCATGTTTCTAAGTTTGGACCAAATGAACGCTGGTTTTTCAGGGAACTTGTTGAACATAAATAGAAACTGATTCACAAACACAGAGACCATCAGATGAAGCACAGCAGGACGCTGTGAAATGAGATACAGGATGGGGTCTGTCAGGTGGCGTCCACATGACCATCAGGACCAAAGGTTTATCAACAGTATTTACTTTACCTTGATGATTTGTTTGGTCCTGTTGAACTCCCAGTCAGAGACACTGGTCTCAACATATCAGGACTTCCTGTCAGGGAGCGACTGGGTCGTCTATGTGTTAGTCAGTGAAGCTGATGTGTGAGTGAATAGTTCTGATTCAGGCTCAATAATTACTGTAGAAGCATTCTGACCTTCTGTCCAACCTCTGCTGTCTGTCTGTCTGTCTGTCTGTCTGTCTGTCTGTCTGTCTGTCTGTCTCTGTTTGTGTTTCTCTCTCTCTCAGACAGACGGTGAACTTGTTTCTCATCATCACCCAGCTCGGCTTCTGCTGCGTCTATTTCGTCTTCCTCAGTGACAACATTAAACAGGTCCTGATCTCTCTCACACACAGACACACAGACACACACACACACACACACACACACACACACATTTAGTTAAACTTCATTTTAACTTGTGTCTTTTCAAAGTAAAACTAGTTTCACAAAGTTCATCAACATGTCAGCCACGTCACAGGAAGTGTTCAGGATCTGAGTCTCACACTGTGACACGGAGCCACACCTGAACACACAGTGAGTGAAGTGTGGGTGTGTTTGAGTTAGGCCCTGTTTAGACGACAACGGTTTCTCTAAAAACAGAAAAGTCTGTCTTTTGCGTTTTAGAAAACTTCCACATTTATATGACGACGTTATTGAAACGATCTCCTTTCACACGGAGCTGCAAAATCGAGTAAGGTAAAGCTGCAGTGCTGGAGGATGCAGTTTCAGGACCGCAATTTTAGGACCAAGCGGAGGCTGCAACCTGAAGTTTTTTTTGCTATACCCAAATACTACTTTCTTATTGAGTAGTTATAATCAGTGTTGGGCACTAATGCATTATTTGATTGATGAAGCCCAGGTAACTTGCCGGTCCTCTCCCACACTTGAGCACCCATTCTGGGAGGGCCGCGGAGGTCAGGCCGGGCGGGCCAACACTGTGTATCCCAGAATGGGTGCTCAAGTGTGGGGGAGAGGAGCGGAGAGGACCGTGACGACGTGGAGTTGCCAGAGTAGATCTACACTTTGCTGGAGAAGCGTTGATAAAATCATTGCGCGTGCCTAGTGACTGGAACCGTAATGCGCATGTGCGAAAAATCTCCGTTTTCAGAGGACCTGCATATTGCAAGTTTACATGACAACAGAGACGGTGCTGTTTCCAAACAATTGCACTCTGGAACTCGTTTTCAAAACGTTGTGTTGTCAGTTACCCAAAACGCTGCTGTCGTGTAAATGATCGGCCAAAACGCAACTAAAGTTTACCGTTTTCAGTTGAAATCGTTGTCGTATAAACGGGACCTTAGAGACTAGGACGGGCCAGTCGTCACCTTTGCAACCTGACGATGTGTTTATACTCTGCCTCTTCAAGGCGGGCACGTCACGCCAATCTACCGCCCCCCTGTTCTGTATAGAAGGTACAGTCCCAGAATGAGGAGACAGAGTTGTCTCACCTTTAAGCCGGCAGCGGAGAGAGTTACAGTGCCGAAACGATGTCTGTACTAACGGGACCGCCGGCAGGACGGGATCATGGACAGGACAGGTAATTTGTTAAGATCCTGACACACCAAGCTGACGGGCAGCCGTCAGTCAGCGTTGGGCCGTTGGTGAGCATCTGCTGCCCTCATCGGTACGGTGTGTCCCACACCAACGCCCGTCTACTTTTTTCTTGGCCGCTTCATCATGTTGAAGTCAATTTATTGAACATGTTAAAATCATACAGACCCACAATAAAGACAGAAACAAACTGGATCCTCAGAAACTAATGAGCAACTCAAATAATATCACTGATGTTCAAACAGGGTCAGAAGAAGTTTTTTATATATTAATCATAGAAAATAAAAGTTCAGTTTACAACCAGCAGCTTCTGTGATATTCAATCTGACTCCTGTCAGACCACGTTCTCAGATTGTTTACTGTGTCCATGTAACACACAGGCTGCTGTGTCATGTGACCTTTGACCTGCACGCCTCGACACATCTGAACCAAACTGTGGTGTTGACGTGACGCCTTGGGAACTGAGGAGGTGTGAAGTGTGTGTGTTCTGATTATGGAGTTGACCATGTGGTCGGTCACATGATGGTAATCTCAGGTCATATGTCAGTTCCCATGGTAACATCAGAGCGTTCCCACGTACAGTGTGTACGACTCACAGAGAGCGTGAGAATGTCTCAGTGTTTGTTCATAGATAGGCCTACTAATAAATATGTGACAGACAGAGATTTATAGGGAGGAACCAGGATTCAGATCCTGTATGTGAACACGCACTCAGCTGATAGAGGTGATGTGATTTCCAGACCAGCAGGCAGAGAGGATTTAATGTAATAGATTACATCCACAAAAACCTAGTCGTCAAACCTGGAAAAGTCATGGAATTCCAGTCTTGTTTTCCAGGCTTGAAAATGGTTTGGGAAAGTCATGGAACTGTGTTATTAAATTATTGGAGTTGTCAGAATATCCACCAGGAGCATGATGGGACATCAGCTCTGAAGGAGTCTAGTTGGAGTCTTTAAGAATCTTACACCGAAACCTCAAAGTGTCTTTAGCCATCAGAGGATGTCACACTTTAATCTCTTAACATCTTTTAGAGACAGTAGCCCTTTTTAAACAGTAGTTGTGCAAATTTGCAGGAAAGCCCAATCAGTTTTTTTTCAGCATTGGCAGTATAAAAACAAAATCAGGGAGTGCAGCAAAATGCCGCCTACCTACTTTTGTTTATACAGAATGCGCCTTTTTCGGGGCAATGGGGGGCGTGAGCAAGTAACAAAACGTGTAGCTCAGCGTGTGACGTAAACAGTGACGTGGGAGGGAAGCCGCGGCTGGTCAGTCCTTCGGCGATTCTCTCGTAAGTCGGCCCGTTCTTCACCGTCCCCGTCATCTGACGGTTAATGGCCTCTTTGTTTGCGAGGACAAGGAGGGCGCGCAATTCCTTGTCTCCCCAGTTGCTCATCTTTACAGTGTCTGTCAGGTTTGTGTTTCCCTCTTGCTACTAGCTGCTCGCTAATTCCTGCTATCAGCTGTTTCCTGTTTATCCACCGCCAGTGGCTCGCACGTGCGGCGTCATCAACAGCTCCTCCCACAAGTCATCATCAGCCCCTCGCGTGGCAGAAGGCCGCCTCGGTCTGTTTAAACTAAAAAGGTTCCACCAATATGTCTACCCTACGAGGCGGAAAATCAACTTGCCAATCCGGCTCTGTGTGTCTAAATGCTCGCAGCTTGCCGGCAAAACGGCCCAACATTCACCGAAAATCTGGCAGTGTGAAAGGGGCTTTGGAGTGTTTGGGAGGCACTCAGTGTGCACCTCCTGGATAGACTTGGCCTGTGTAGCACAGTTTGTACCACTAGATGGTGCTGTCTGTCACCAGACTGAATATATCTGGGTCAGTCTCACTGAAACAATCAGCCTGTCAGTGGTGATGTTGTGAACTCATAACTGTTCCTGATATGATGAATGATTGAAACTTAATCTGGCCTTTTTGATCATTAGTTCATCGTCTGAGTTCTGAGTTTAACCGGGGTGTTTTTATATATTTCCATCACTGTAAGTTACAGTAAATATTAGTGATGTGCTTGATGAGTCAATAAATTATTAAACAGTGCCTCAGTCACTCACTTGGCTCACTTGGGTTGGGAACCAGAGGGTCACCGGTTCAAGTGCCTGTATGGACCAAACATGGAGAGTGGACTGGTGGTAGCTAGAGAGGCTCTCCTCCTGGGCATTGCCGAAGTGCCTTTGGGCAAGGCACTGAATCCCAACCTGTTCAGGGCACCCGTCCATGGGCAGCTCTGACATCTCTCCATTTGATACATGTACAGGTCCTGATTTATTAAAGTGATTCAAACTGTTCTGCAGTGAGTTCTCCTAATACCTAAAGACATGTTCCTGACTCACTGACTCTCATTGTTGTTAATGAGTCTTTGCACACGGCACAACATCTGACCTCATACAGTGTGTAGGAGGTGTTACCTGATCCAACAGGTGACTGATGATCATTCAGCACACCTGGATCACAGCAGATTTGGATGGTTATGAACATTTTTGACTTGTCTTATTTTTTCTTTTAAAGGAAAATTAAGAGAAAAAAAATGAGAGGACTTTGAGAGAAAGTTGCTGCACGAGGCCGGACGAGTGTTTTCTGATGTTTGAACTCGTCGTCTGGTCCAAAGTTTAAAGTTTAAATGTGAGGGAAGTTAGTGGTTAGAAACATCACCAGTAAAAACTTGACTGAGTCACAATCAATGGTTTCAGACTCTATCAGTAGTGATTATAAGAACAAGCAACAGTTGAACAAAGTAAAAACTGGCTCCTCCCCCTGCTGAGACAATGGGTTGGGACTGAGTGGAGATGAAGTACATGGACTTACATATACACACACATGAAGACACATATAACACGCACACCCCCTCCAACTCAACGCCTTCTTGGCGCCTCCCCCCCTCCCTCCCTTCGTCGCAATGTAGCATGGGCTGCGTGCGCCCCCCAGTGTCTGTGCTGCGACACCTCCCCTCCCCAACACGCCCCCTCCCCAACACGACCCCCCCTCCCATATGTGCAAGTCTTCAGGTTTTGTTGTAATGTCTTATTATGTTGCTTATGTGCTGAGGTGGGTTTTTTTTCCTGTTCCCACACTGTGTACAGGAGCCTAGTTTGGGAGTTGCTTTTTTTTCCCTCTTCCTCCTTTTTGTTCTCCTTTTTTCATATAAGTAAACGGGGCGCTGCTCGTGTGGCGACCCACAGTTCTCCCCTGTTCTGATATGTGGGGGTGGGAGGGGCGGGTTGTCAATATTTGTAGTATTTTCTTTTTGTTGTATGTTTTTAGTTTGTAAAGCGCTTTGGGGTTGCATTTTTGATGTATGAAACGCGCTATATAAATAAAATTTGATTGATTGATTGATTGCTGATGTCACAGTTCTGATTCACAAACATCACCTGGATAAAATCCCACCTTCATCGCACCTGTCCTCACGTCAGTATTTACAGAAGAGATCATGTGAAACACTCCCTGACTCATTTCTGTGCCTTCGCCAGGTGGTTGAAGCCGCCAACGCCACCACCTTCAACTGCCACATCAACAACACCAACCAGACGCAGATCCTGGTGCCGAGCTTCGACTCCCGTCTCTACATGCTCTGCTTCCTGCCCGCCATCATCCTGCTGGTTTTCACCCCCGACCTCAAGTACCTGGCTCCGCTGTCCCTGGTGGCCAACCTGGTGATGACCGCCAGCCTGATCCTCATCTACTTCTACTCTCTGACGGTGAGTGCCACGTTTATCTGATCTGTTTTCATGAAGACTGTCTCACCCTTACTGTGTTCACATGCTCACAGTGAACCAGCAGTAGGTTACAGGAAACTGCTGTGCTGCAGCAGCCCGAGTGCTCCACAGTCTGAGGGTGTCAGTGTACACAGGAGTCACATTATGGTGTCAGCTCAGCACGAAACAAACACATGAACACAGTTCTGTCTGTTCTCATTTATTCTGAACCAACAGTAGTTAAAGTGTCAAAGACAGATCGTCTGCTGCAGACTGAGGAAACATTTTACCCTCCAACACCTCTGCTGAACTGGTTTCATTTCAGACAAAACACTGAACAAACACGTTACCAAACCAAAACTTTACCTGTCAACGTTACAGATCAGAAGCACAGAGAGTCGTTGACTAGAGATGATACGCCGTCTCATGGCGGTCACTTCCTGTCAGCGTTACAGATCAGAAGCACAGAGAGTTGTTGACTAGAGATGATACGCCGTCTCATGGCGGTCACTTCCTGTCAACGTTACAGATCAGAAGCACAGAGAGTCGTTGACTAGAGATGATACGCCGTCTCATGGTGGTCACTTCCTGTAAACCACCAGCATTTTACAGAACAGAGGGTTGACAGTAGTTGTTCGTTTCAACTTGTCTGGTCTTGAATCTTTGGTCTGAACTGGACTTTAGAGAAACTTGACTGGTGCGCGAAAGCGCACAAACATCTGGGTGGGATTCTAGTTATTTATTTTATTTAAATATGGTAACAGAGAAGTGATGAATATTTCATGCTGCTCTGCTGCCTCAGTGATACTTTTCCTGATCTGCGTCTTTGTCTCGCACTTTTAAAACCTTTGAGACTCATTCTTTAGAAAACAAACTTACAGGATAAAGAGTGAAGATAAATCAAGATAAGTCCGAGTAATTTAAGATTATCTTTACATGGAATACACTCAGTCTGTGCTGTGGTATGTGAAGTGGAGATTCACTGAGTGTTTTCCAGCTGCACATGAAGCAGTGATCTGATGTGATTTGTTCTTCATCTTGTTTCATCTTGTGTTTCTGCTCTGCTGATTGGGTTCTGGGTCTTTATGGATAACAGGACAAGTGGTAGCGACAGAGTCTCCAGATTACCTGTTTTCAGCTGTGGAGTGTTTCATCATGCAGCTTCTGCCCTTTACAGATAGATAGCAGGCGTGTTCCTGAGAAACAGCCTGGGAGGGAAAAGAGCAATTTCCTGCATCAGAAATATTCCAGAGATTCAGCTCTTAGAGATAAATATAAATATACCTGTGGCCTGTAAGGTGTTCATGTGGCTGATGAATCATCTCAACAGGAATTCTGGGAAAAAGAAAGAGATAGAAAAAGTCTGGAGTCGTCTTCTTTTATTCGCTCGGTGTGTTTGGTGTCTTTTGTCTTCTTTTAACCTCAGAATGTATAAAAATATTAATGTGGCTCTAACAGGCTCCAATTTCATCTTTAATGACTCCACATCATGGTTTTAAAACCGTCCTGCTGACCTTCATTTAAAGACTGATATAAAATATGATCATCCACAGTATAGGTGCAGTTTAATGTTTCTGACGGTGGGTGTTCAGTTAAACTATCCACCTCTAAACCCAGTCCAGTCCAGTCCATTTTATATAGCATATTTCAAAAACACAAAGATACCAAAGTACTGCACAAAAATCCACATAAGAATATACAGAATATCCACATAGGATTATACAGAAATACACATACGAAATATACAGGTCATAGATACAGAAGTGATACAGACAGTACAGCAAGCTCAAGGGATAAAAAGACACAGAGACAGGTTGGTCTACTTTGTCAACCAGAATCAAAGCCATGGAAAACAAGTGGGTCTTGAGGCGGGACTGAAAAGATTCTACATGGGCAGGCAGGTCATTCCATAGCCTAGGGGCAGCTACAGAGAAGGCGCCGTCACCTCTCATTTACCCAGAACCAGAGTTCACCAACCTGCAGCTCCAGAGACACATTCGGCCTATAAGCTCCTCTCCAGAGGCTCCACGTGGCTTTGACAAAACATGATATGGAAATGAATCACAGTTATTTTTAAACACTTTAATTTGTCATTGTTTTAGGCTTAAAGTGATTCTTAAATTTCCAACTGTAAAAATGTGTGGCCCGTACACTGAATTTAAAAATGTGTTATCATGTTAACTAAAATGTGCGTCATACATCTACTGCGAGGTGCCTTTTCTTCTAAATTTTATCCAAACTAAATAGTGCTGTCTCAAGTCTCCCTGATTTTAGATTTCAAATCCAAAACAGGAATATAAAGAATTTAAAAGGGATGAGCATGTTTACATCAGTGGTGTGTAGTGGAGGGTGCACCCACCTCTTCTTCTGTCTGGTTATACCCACCTATTAGCCAAGACGCCGGTGGAATTTAGAAGAGAGTACATCCGCTTCCTCCTCAGTAACCTGCCCACCTACCTGTCCTACACCCACCTCATCAGCTACACTACTGGACAACATAAATAAAATATTCAGGTTTCAGTTTCAGTTTAGTTTATTTAAGAAGGGACGGTGCAACTGAATAAATACAGGGAGTATAAAAATCATCCAAGTGGCTATTTTTTTATCTGTAGTCCCTCAGCCAGGTGTTACACAAGGCTGCCTAAAAACATTAATATTCTAGTAATATTCTTGTTTACATGCAGCAGTGCAGACTCTGATTAACATTTGTTTATCGCGTCAAAATATGGAAAAGTGAAACGGCTCGAGCCGCTTGTCATTTTGCTTCCTTGCAACCCCAACCCTTCAAAGTTTCCTACCAGTGGTGGACCGTGTAAAGACAGCGTCCTTCTTTCATTCCTTCTTAACAAGGTCAGTGTTGTGACATTAGCTCATATCCAAAAACCTGTTGATATCCAAGTCTTTCATAAAGTTTATCAGTACGTGTGTTTCTCACTCTGACCTGAAATGTGGGCTCTTCTTTTTGGGCATGATCTCTACACTACAGCCTGAAAGACTGTTGTCAGGTTGGTTTACAACGTGTTCATGACAACACACAGAGCCTACTGTACACAGACGAGAGACACATATTCTGAATGTGCTGTCAACATGTCCAAATAATGCTGAATAATATGGACATGCCACACATGTCTTAATCAGAAAATGTTACAGTTAGAAAAAGGTCTGATTCAGAATATCCTGAATTTTTCTTCTCTTGCTCTGAAAGTGTGTAATGAGATTACATATGTCAGCCATCATATTGTCATGGATTTATGTGATGTTAAATGATGTCTTTATATATGAACGTGTATAATGTAGTGATGTGTATGTCTTGTCTCTTTTTATGTGGCACACTGTGGAACTTTCTCTGTGTCCTATATAAAGTCATCGTTATTATTATTATTATCATTATTATCCAGACAGAATAATCTGTTTACATGACCCGTATCAGATTCATAACATCATCATCATATTTAGGACAGTAGTCGAACATTAGTGTGCATGTTAACACAGTCACTGTAACTTTGTCTCCGGAGCATCTGTGGCTGCTCAGCCTTCTCTGTGACGCTGTCAGCAGCTGCAGTGTGAAAAAAGACAAAGTTTGATGGCTCTCATTTCCTTTTATTCTCCCACTCAGGTTAATTCAGCAGTAATGACGGCTCTCTTTATATCAGCCCAGTTATTCCACAGCGCTCAGAGACCCTGATCATTACAGCTAATGTGGTCCGGCAGGACACTGAACGGTGTCCCCTCAGCTCGACGTGTTGGGGCTTAAAGTGATTACAGATGATCCAGCAGATATCTGATCAATGTCTGATAATCAGGAACGAGTCAGTCACACATGAACATTAACAATAAGCTGATGATGTTTCTGCAGAATGTTCATGTTCCTGTTTCTGCTCTGTGTTTCCTGCAGAACATCACGTACCCCATCAACCTACCTGCAGTGGGCAGACTCAAAGACTACCCTCTCTTCTTTGGGACCGCTGTCTTCGCCTTCGAAGGGATCGGAGTGGTACGTGACCAGCTGATGATAACACGATAACATCTCAACAGTTAAAACCCTTTTACATCTGGTATTAACAGGAAATGTGTCTGGATACATTATGTGGATGATGGATTCTGATCAGGAGTCTTTGCTTCACACCTGTAATATAAACCTTCACATTCTGTCCATGTTATGTCAGTATGTAAATGAGGATGGCAGAGTTGGCGTGTTTGTTGTGAGGGGGGACTCGTCTCGCTGAGTGTTTGGTCAGTTGGGCGTTGGTTTGGTCGGTGGTTTGTTCAGCTGTTTGTTCACTCAGTCGGTTGTTTGTTCGTTCCTTAGGTTGTTTGTTTGGTCATTTGGTCAGTTAAGTGTCGAGGACAGTGATGACGACAATGACGAGGAAAGTGATGAGGAAAGTGATCAGGACAGTGATGATGACAGTGATGAGGACAATGATCATGACAGTGACGAGGAAAGTGATGAGGAAAGTGATCATGACAGTGATGATGACAGTGATGAGGACAGTGACGAGGACAGTGATGAGGACGGTAATGAGGACAGTGATGATGATAGTGATGAGGAAAGTGACGAGGACAGTGATTATGACAGTGATGAGGATGGTAATGAGGAAAGTGATGAGGACAGTGACGAGGAAAGTGATGACGACAGTGATGAGGACGGTAATGAGGACAGTGACGAGGACAGTGACGAGGACAGTGATGAGGACAGTGATGAGGACGGTAATGAGGACAGTGATGATGATAGTGATGAGGAAAGTGACGAGGACAGTGATGAGGATGGTAATGAGGACAGTGATGATGACAGTGATGAGGACGGTAATGAGGACAGTGATGATGATAGTGATGAGGAAAGTGACGAGGACAGTGATTATGACAGTGATGAGGATGGTAATGAGGAAAGTGATGAGGACAGTGACGAGGAAAGTGATGACGACAGTGATGAGGACGGTAATGAGGACAGTGACAAGGACAGTGACGAGGACAGTGATGAGGACAGTGATGAGGACGGTAATGAGGACAGTGATGATGATAGTGATGAGGAAAGTGACGAGGACAGTGATGAGGATGGTAATGAGGACAGTGATGATGACAGTGATGAGGACGGTAATGAGGACAGTGATGATGATAGTGATGAGGAAAGTGACGAGGACAGTGAT